GGTTTCTTTCCCTTCACTTTTGCTTCCCTGTGTATTTTCTGTTGTTTCACTTTGCTTAGCCTTCCTTTCTTTCTTCATTTTGAGACCAAGCTCAATCAATTCTGTGAGCATCCTGATTACCAGTGTTTTGAACTCTGCATCAGGTAGGTTGGCTATCTCCTTGTCGCTTAGTTCTTTCTCTAGAGTTTTGATCTTTTCTTTCATTCGGGCCATTTGTCTCAGTGCATCTGTTATGTTATGTGTAAGGGGTGGAGTCTTAGGTATTCCCCAGGGCAGGGTAACCCTCTTTGCTTTGTTGTGGTGCTATCTGTGAGGGTGGGGTCAGAGGAGGAACAATGCTGCTTGCTCTGCTCTTGTCACACTTTCCTTGCTTTCAACAAATGGTATGTGTTCTTAAGGTGCTGATTTGCAGGCGGGTAGGTTTATGCGTGTTTTTGGACCTCATGAGTCTCTTCAATATACTGTTCTGTGATGCTGGGTGGTTCTCCAGCTGCCATAGTCCTCACAGATCTTTTCCAAAGCCTGTGGTTTTGAGTCTTTAGTTTCCTGTGCTGAAACCCAGGGTTAGCAGTCCATCTTGATCCCCTGCTTTCTCCCAGGCTGTTTGTGCATGACTGAGATCATCAGTGTGGGCCATCAGCCGCATTCTCTCTTGCCCCTGCAACACTATGGTTGAGTGTTTTTTCAACTCCTCGGTTATTGGACTTCTATGCAAATGTTTTTCTGGCAGTTCTGGTTGTTCTTTATTTTCCTTCTTTTGGTTGTGTGAGGAAGTGAAGTGTTTCTACCTATGCCTCCATCTTAACTCCAATCAGCTTATTGTTAATTATTCCTATCCATAAACACATAATTTACTTCCACTTATTTGTATCTTCTTCAATTTCTTTCTTTAGTATCTTATAAATTTCCAAGTACAGGTATTTTACATATTTGGTTAAGTTTATTCCTAGATATTTTACTTTTTGATGCAACTGTAGTTTCTCTTTCTGATATAGTTCATTATGGGTATATAAAATTGCAATCACATTTCTGGATATTTACTTTATATCCTGCTACTTTACTGAATTCATTTATCAGTTCAGATAGTTTTTTGGTGGAATTTTTAGGGTTTTCTACATACAGTTTCATGTGTTCTGTATAGTGAAAGTTTTAATTTCTTCAATCCTATTTAGATGCCTTTATTTCTTCTTCTTGTCTGATTGCTATGGTTATGACTTCCAGGACTAGTTTGAATACGAGTGGAGAAAGCAGACATCCCTGTCTTATCCCCAAGCTTAAGAAAAACATTTTTTGTATGATTTTTGCTGTGGCTCTGTCATATGTGGCCTTCACTGCATTGAGGTGTGCTCCCTCTATTCCCACTTTGCAGAAAGTTTTTAATGACAATTGGGCGCTGGATGTTATCAAATGCTTTTTCTGAACTTATGGATGATAATATGAGTTTTATCTGTCAATTTGTTTATGTGTGTTTCATGTTTATTGATTTGCAGATATTGTACCAACCTTGCGTCCTTGGATTAAATCCAACTTGGTCTAAGTGTACGATATTTTTTAATGTATTGCTGGATCCAGTTTACAATATTTTGTTGAGTATTTTTGCACTTATGTTCCTGAGGGAGATTGACCTATAATTTTCTTTCTTTGTAGTGTCTTTATCTGGTTTTGGAGTCAGGATAATGTTGACCTCATAAAATAAGCTTAGGAGTCTTCCCTCCTGTTGATGTGTTTGGAACAGTTTGAAAGGATAGGTGTTAGTTTTCCTTTGAATGTTTGGTAAAATACACCTGTGAAGCCATCTGGTCCAGGACTTTTGATTGTTGGGAATTTTTTCTATTACTGCTTTGATTTCATTAGTTGTGTTCAGTCTATTCAGACTTTCTGATTCATCCTGGCTGAGTTTTGGAAGACAGTATGTTTCTAGGAATTTATTCATATTATATTCAGATTGTCCAATTTGTTGGCATATGGGTGTTGGTAATATTTTCTTTCAAATTTCTGTGGTGTCAGTTGTTACTTCTATTTCATTATTCATTTAATTTATTTGGATCTTCTTTTTTCTTGATGAGTCTGATTAAAGATTTGTCAATCTTATTTATCTTTTCAAAAAACCTACTTTTGGTTTCATTGATCTTTTATATATATATATTTTTAAACTCTATTTCATTCAAGCTGGAGCGAAAATGGTTCCTTGGATTTCCTTTTTCATCTTCTCTTTTATTTCTAAAATGGATAGAATACTAGAATGTACTGGGGTGGGGGATTCAATGAGGCAGTCCATGCACTGTGGTGGGACACCCAGGACAGAGTAAGGGCTCAATACATGGCAGGTACATTTTTTTCTGGTGCTTTATGTTTTTCCTTATAATTACAGAAAAATTAGATAAATTTCTGAAAATCTGTATAAATACAGAGAGAAGAATAAGCCTTTGAATCCTTCTTCTTGTTATCAACTTCAATCTCTCTTCTATACTACACAGAAGAATAAGGTAGCAGGCTACATATATACATATATAAATTTGTACATTGCCTTCATTTTAAGATACTATCAAATTATTAACAGCTTTTCCAGGAAAGGGGTAAAGGTGGGAGAACCATATTACCTTAAAAATACATTTATATATTTCAGAAAAATCAAAATTTGAAAAACAGATCTTAGAATTGGAAAGATAAGAAATTAAAAAGTGAATTGGAACCTACATATTGGGTTAGCCAAAAAGTTCATTTAATTTTTTTGTGTACAAAGGCTCTACACAAATGAAGTTAGTTTTCTTTAACTTCATTTGAAATAATTTTGTTAGATTGTATTATGAAAGCCATCACATCAGTGTGCATTTAAAAAAACATATCAAAACTAGTAAATTTCTGTGTAGCCATTTTAATACTTAAGATGAAAGAAGATACTCAACATTTTGGTGTATTATGTTTTATTATTTCAAGAAAGGTAAAAACACAACTGAAATGCATGAAAAGATTTGTCCAGTGTATGGAGAAAGTGCTGTGACTGATCAAATGTGTCAAAAGTGGTTTGCCAAGTTTCTTGGTACTATTGCCATTTCCAACAAATAATTCTTTGCCGTGGTTGGGGCTGCCTTATGCATTGGAAGATGTTTAGCAACACTCCTGGCATCCACCCACTAGAAGCCAATAGTGGCATATAGCTGACATACTCAAACTATCTAAATCAATAGTTACTGATGAAAATGAAAAACATGTCTTTTATTTTACGGAAAAAACTAAATGGACTTTTTTGCCAACCAATGGATATACAACTGAGATACAACTTTCTTCACTTTAATGTGAATATTTCTCCATGGTTTTGGGAGACGGGAGAGTGTCCTTCATACCACAGTTGTGAAAAAGCCCAGACATGGGGCCAGTGTCTTGCGTTTTACCCTTGCAAGCTCTATCATTCCCAATAAGCTCATTTTCCTCATCCATGAAGTAGACTTGACAATAATCCTTCCCCTCATAGGGTAGTTCTAAGGATTAAATACAATGACAAAAATAAGGAGCCAGCTCCTTGCTCAGGCCAGTAGGAGCACTCCTAAGTGATATCTTGGTTTGATCAATTTTCTATTCCTCTCCACAGGGATCAGCAGCAAGCATTTTTCCAATTCTCATGACATACATAACCAGCAATGCCAAGTGTTGATGAGGGAGGAAGAAAGGAAGAGGACAGGGTGGCAGAGAAAGGTGGTCAGAGGGTACACTTAGGAAGCAGGGGGCATTGAGTTTGGTCAGGGAGAGGGGTGGGTGAGAAGGGCTGCTATGAAATCAGGCTGCCAAGGAAGACAGCAGCTAAACCAGAGGGCTAGATGCTGAGCCATAGGCAGGGGATAAACACCACTGGTGTGTTAACACCACCAGTGTTACCAGATTAACACCACTGGCATTACCCTGTGGGCTAAAACACAAAGGGTAGCACAGGGCCTTGTTAATGGCCTGGTGATGACTGTCACAGCACCAGCTGCAATGGCTGTGATTATTGTAGCAGACCAGAGAGAAGGGTAGGCAAGAGCCTGAATGTTGATGATACATGGACGGTTTAGGATTTGAACTTTGGCTTGGCCAGGCTCTACAGCCTGGAACAAGTTCTTTAACTCTCCTGTACTTCAGTTCCTCCACTGTAAAATGAGACAGTAAGTTTGCAACTGAAAACTTCTATACACCCTCAGGGGCTGGGGACTCACTGGTTCCAGAAGTGTATTATCAGCAATGCTAATTATCACCATTTCTAAGGAGTCGGGAAAGGACCCAGTAGGATTTGAGCTATAGGTTAAGAAGGGACCTAACAGGACAAATAAAAGTTGAGTTTTGTCTTTCATGTCACACAGATCAGTAAGCACTACTGCTTCCATTATTTATGCCTGCATGGTCATGGGATCATGAGCTGATGTGTCTGGGTCTTGTTTTCTCTAGCATGACACAGGGATTGTAACATCTACCTCACAGAGCTGTCATGAAGGTTCACAAAAGAATTTAGAAATTTTATCATGAATCTGGCCCAGTGTGAGTGCCCAGTAAATGGCAGTTCTTTTCATTACCAAAGCAAAGGAAAAAAGATGTCCTGAGAATACCCAAGGCCCAGCTGGACCATGAACACTCAGGGTCACTAACCAGGGCTATCAGGTTTCTCTTGGTCCTAAGAGACCAGAGCACAAACTCTCACTTTCTTATCTCTCCCACAGGCTGGTGACAGTGTCCTGCTTGCCATTGGAGCTATCCAGCCACCAGAAAAACCCAATTTAGCCACTGAACTTGGTACAGAACACTCAGCCTATGGATGACTGGGCTGCAGACATTAGTGGGAAGCAGCCATTGGTGATCTGACCTGAGAACCTCACAGATCATTCAATATGGTTCTCAGGAAAAGAATTTTTGAATTAAAAAAACATCTCAATAATATAGGGAAAAATAAAAATGGGGCTAATTCAAACAAAAACTGGTTGAAAATCTAGAATATAGCTTAATGTTCAATGTACATAATGAGTTGGTAATACCTTCAAAGTGACACCTATCACATTGATGGCCTCTTTCAGCAGAGGATGCCTTGTGCACTGTGCAAGCTCTTCACATATCCAGACTCCGAGGGAGCAAATGGCAATGCATCTTTTGAAAAAGAAAAAGGAGAAAGAGTCTCATGAAATTTGATCTTTTAATTCCTGTACCAAATTTTCTTGGTATTTTCAAATTATAAAAATATTTTTTTAAAGTAGCAAAAATTACAGTTACACTAACAGAATGTCTTCTTGAGAAACAAAGATAGTACCCTCAACAGACCAGTTTCAGGACAAATAGAAATATTGATAATGGTTGGTAATTTGATATTTAGTTAAGTAAATGGTAGATTTCTGTTAATGTAACAGCCCACATAGTACTTATTTTTGCTGAAACTAATTTTCTATTACATTTTACCACTTTGAGACATTTTTGAAGAAGAAAAATGTGAATCCTAAAAAAACCTAGAAGTTGAATTTGTCGTTGTTTTCCTTACAATAAAATATATAACACCAACCACAAATAGAAGACAAATCTTATATTTTGTTGTGAAGAATATTTGAATACAACTTTTAAAATAAGTTTCACTGTTATTTCTTTTCAACAATGTGTTAAGAAAATAGTTTTTGAATTGTACAGTCCTTTACAAGTTACCTTTCTCAATTATAAATCAATTTTAAATGGTAACTCTCTTTGGAATTGATACACTCCACTATCTTTTGCAATAATCAAAAAATCATATTCTTGTTAGTTTTTTTTCCTGAAAGCCTATATGTACATTTAAAATATTTGCTCCTAAAACTACTTACTCTCAGAACAAAAATGGGATTCCAACCAGTATTTGGAAACAGACCCAAGCTGTACAATGTATCTGTTGTTCTTAGCAATAAGAGGTCACATTGAGAGCCACTCAAACTGGACATACTGCTTTGCTCTCCATATTGAACACTTCTTTGTATTCAATGTAATTCCACAATTAAAATCATTGAGTTTTTTAAACCACCATGTTTCACTGGATTCTTTCCTCTTTAAATAAGGATAGACTAAGTGCATCAGAACAAACAAAATCCTTTGAAGAGTGTGTCACCTTCTACCAAAATTCATTCAGTAAAGCAGTTCGACTCAGTTTAAAAGCTGTGCCAGGTCTTTTTTTGTTTCTCCCAAACCAGCATTATTCAGGAGTTCCACACGATTCTAACCCTTGATGTTCCTGTCTCTTCTCTTGCCTAATTCCTATGCTTATTCTCATCTAGAAACTGTACTTTGCATCGTTAGTTTGCATATACTCTACATTCTCATGTATTCTAGACCTTTTCAAAAAGTCTCTTTATTTTCCTGCAGTTTAACCCAGACGCTGTTTAACCCACAAAAATCTACACAACTTGGAATTATATAAAAAAATCCACTTTTACCTTTTTAAGAGCCCCACTTTCTTTGTGTGCGTGTGTGTATGTAAATGAGTGTGTATATAAAATACATATATTTTTACAACCCATTAACCTATTTGTTAAATATAATGTTAAGAGCAAAGATCTTTCATTTCTAGGAATACATGCATTACTCTGTTAACTACTAGGTTTGCACTATGGAGAACATTTGTGACCCATAAAATGGTTTTATAATCTAAACTACTTTCACTTGCTTTGAGTTTTAAGCCATACAAGCTTATAAGAGCTCTTCCATGCTATTTTCTTTCTTTGAAATTTATCATTTAACATCCCCATTTAGCATCTTCTAATTCCAATACTCGTAATTATTCCTCATGCCTAGGCATTCCTGCCAATTAAGATTCTCTGCATCCCAAGTATGTCCTTTGTGATCCCAAATGAGTTTTATGTATCAAGACTCTTTTTTTAGTTAACGGCAATACTACCTTCACTTTCACACTGTCTTCCAGCACGGTCTCCTCTTTGCTACTATGCCTTCTCATAGCACTCCAATTTATAGAACAAAACTTATTTTTCTAAATTATCAGTCATAATTATCCTATATTTTCTAAATTGTCTCAATTTTTTGAAATCTTGATCATATTTCAGTATGCTTGCTTATCTATACTTACATGCCCTTAATTTCATAATCTGATTCTTTTTGTATGCAACTAAAAGAGACTGTCTCATACACATTACTTTCTATACTAAAGAAAAGGGGTTTGAAGAAAAAAGTACCGACAACTTGTTGAAGTGCTGAATGTGGTGGCTATAAAAGAAGGAAAATCGAGGATTTTCCCTAAACTTCTGGATTAAAAGTCTAGTTAGATGGTGTCATTTACTAAGATGAAGTCCAAGAGACAGCAGACTCACTGGTTCTATTATGGTTGTATTAAGTTTGGATATATTAAGACATCCAAGCTAAAATATCAAGTAAGCAGTTTTAATATATATGCCTGAATACACAGGGGTTCACAGAAGTGACTAGGTAAATAAACTCAGATCACCGGCAGGCAGGTGGCACTTAAAAGTCTGGTTAGAATGAATAAGAGTGCCTAGAAAGTCATGGAGAGAGAAGAGGGCCAGCCCTAAGCCTTGAGTGACTCTAACATTCAGACGTTAGGAAGAGGAGGGAGATAGGAAAGAAGCAGGTGCCGTGATGTAGAAGCAAGTTAGATGTTTTAAGAACTGGCAATGTTCAGGAAGAGGGCGGAGACAGACTAACTTCAGAAATAGTAAGGTTGATGTGCATAGTAAAATTTCTAAGGTAACCTCTAAAAGAACTGAAAAAGTGCCTATGACTTCTAAAAAAAATAAAGATAACAAATAGAAAGTAGAAAAAAAAAACCCTGGTTGGTGTAGCTCAGTGGACTGAGCGTGGGCCTGCAAACCAGGCAATCGCAGTTCGATTCCCAGTCAGGGCACATGCCTGGGTTGCAGGCTGGTTCCCAGCAGAGGACGCATGAAAGGCAACTATACACTGATGTTTCTCTCCCTCTCTCCTTCCCTTCCCCTCTAAAGATAAATAAATAAAATCTTAAAAAAAAAAAGAAAGTAGAAAAAATAATCTCAAAGAAAAAGAAAGGAAAGAAGAAAGGATGAATAGGAGGAAGGGAGAAAGGGAGGAAGAAAGAAAAGGAGAGGAAAAAAATGAAGGCAAGAGAAAGGAGAAAATGAAATATTGAGAAGGACCAATAACAGCATATAAGATGAAAGACATATATCTACATATATCAGTAATTGCAATGAATGTAAATGAATTAACCCTTAAGTTTGAAGATAAAGATCAGACAGAATAAACATATAAAATGAAGTATGTATAGTTTTTTGAAAAAAAGACAAGATTATATAGAGGTTCAATTTATAAGGATAGAAATATTATTAAAAAATAGCTGGGTCAATATCAGATGAGTGGTCTTTAAGATTTAAAAAAATTTCCTTAGGAGTAAAGAGGGTCATTACATAAATACAAAAGATTTAATTCACTATAGATATAATTTTAAATTTTTTGCAGCTAATAACATAGCTTCAAAATATATAAAACAAAATGAACGGATATACAAGGACAGGTATCAGTGGGAGATTTTAATGTCTTTTTCTCAGTAAATGATGAAGTGATAAAAAAATTAAAAAGAACATGGAATATTTAAAGGACATAATTTTAAAAATTAATAAAATAGACACACCTAGAACACAGCACACAACAATTAAAGAATAGTGTGACAGTTTCTCTCAAGCATGTATGAGACATTTGCAAAAACTGATTACATACAGGTTCATAAAGAAAATCTCAACAATTTCTAAGACTATTTATCAGGCAAACAGTATTTCTGACCAACAATGCAACCAGTAGTAAAAAGATAAATAGAAATAACCATATGTTTGGAAATCCAAAAATATGTTTCTAAATAAATCATGACTCAATGAAGGAATAATAGCAGAAATTAGAATACCTTTCTAATGGAAAAATTAAGTAAAACAATTTCTGATACAGTACTTGTTATACTTTTTAGTGTGTGTAAGGGTAATGCAAAATAATAAGTATTTATTAACGTGTTTTACACATAAATGTGTATCTTATAGTTGTAAAATGGTTTACTTTTATTAAACATTTACCTTGCACATTCGCTTGGTTCCTCTGTGGCATTCTTCAGTAAAATATTTATGAGGTAATGCTAAAAAAAAGAAATTAAGTAAAATAAAAACTTTTGTTTAGTAGTTGGTTTCCCATGTGTTCTGACTGTGTTCCAGGCAGTTGGGAACTACTGAAGGAGCAGGGACCTCTGGAGAGGCTCCTATTAGGGAGAACCTGAGGGAAGGAAACAAGGAGGCTTGAGGATAGCCCTCTGAGCAATCATGCTAGCCCACAGAGCAGAGTTTCTGAGTATACAATAAAAAGCTAGCAAAGAAATGAGATTTCTACATAGGAAAATCTTGGTTTTCTTTTACTTTATTTTTAAGTATATTTTATTAATTATGCTATTACAGTTGTCCCATTTTTTTCTCCACTGTTACTCCCCTCCGCTCTGCAGCCCCCTCCCACCAGCATCCTTCCCCCCACCCTCCATACCCCAGTACATGCCTACGGGTTGTACATGTAAGTTCTTTGGCTTCTACATTTCCTATACTATTCTTAACTTTCCCCTGTCTATTTTGTACCTACCATTTATGCTTTTTATTCCCTGTACTTGTCCCTCATTCTCCCGCCTCTCCCTCCCTGCTAATAACCCTCCATGTGATCTCCATTTCTGTGATTCTGTTCCTGTTCTAGTTGTTTGCTTAGTTTGTTGGGGTTTTTTTTAGCTTCAGTTGTTGATAACTGTGACTTCATTGTCATTTTACTATTCAAAGTTTTGACCATCTTTTTCTTACCTAAGTCTCTTTAACATTTCATCTAATAATGGTTTGCTGATGATGAACTCCTTTAACTTGACCTTATCTGGGAAGCACTTTATCTGCCATTCTATTCATTCTAAATGATAACTTTGCTGGAGAGAGTAATCTTGGATAAAGGTTTCTGCCTTTCATGACTTTGAACACTTCTTTCCAGCCCCTTCTTGCTTGCAAGTTCTCTTTGGAGAAATCAGCTGACAGTCATGTGGGCACTCCTTTGTAGGGAACTGTCTTTAATTGGATTATATACTGTACACTGAATTATTTATTGTAATTATGTACTACAGATAGCTTACGTTGATCAATTTTGGGATTTGGAAAGCACTTTCTTTTTTGCCCCAAAGTCAGGGTAGGAGAGAACAAATGCTTACTTATTATCCAAGGAATAATTTGGAATTTCAAATTATTTGTATAATTTAATCAGGCCACAATATAGTAGAATATTTAGCTTATTTCAATTATTTCTTTTAAATTCATTTGATTGCACTAATGCAGCACAATTAAACTAAGAAAATAATGATAAAGGATGGTTTACTACATAATTATGACCATAGGCCTCATTAACAGGTCTAATAAAGAACACCTGAAGAACCTAACAGTTATAACTGGAGTATGCTCTGAATCTCATACATTTAATTCCCCTAAAACAGTCTTCTAAAAAACTACTGAAACACTTAAACAATATAGCAAAACTTTCAGGCATAATTAGGTTACTACGTAATAATGGAAGACATAACCATAGAGCTATAATTATAAAATGCTAAACTTGAGATTTAGTCAAATGCATTATGTACCTTGATATCTTCAGTTCCTGTAGTGACTTCACTAACTTCTGGAACTGACTGCAGCAAAGGGATCTCCTGGTAGGTATTTGGAAAGCAGACAAGAGAGCCGAGAATGGTGAGAGCTTCTGAACGAGGTGCCTACACACAAAAAAGTGAAACACATTCTACTTCCTGTACATTAGAAACTTCAGATGTGAGTCACATTTCTTTTTTCAAGCTTTTGAAAGGAAATCTTTATAATTATTTTATCTTAGATTAAAATATCAAGCTATGCCTGGCTATTTTACTGCAGGTGAATACTTAAGCAAACAGGTTTGCCTAAATGAAAAAGCAAATTTCCAAGTAATAGAAAATATCACTGTATTTAGATATAAAGAAGTACTGTGAAAACTGGTCTGCAGATTCATTCAGAGTCAGAAAAGCAAATAAGCAAATGACTCAGTCATAATTGTTTTACCTTTTTTTTTCCTTTTTAGTCTTATGTTTCTGTCAAAGAAGGGTATATGATACCAACTTAATATTAGTTTTTCTGTGAAGACAGTTAATGAAAACTCATAAGGAAGAGAGGTCAGGCTAACTATGAGGAGGTAGAGAGAGAAGACATCATCTACCAAATTTACTGAACTACTTTGCAAAATAGTGTCTGACATTCAGTGCGATACAAAATCACCTGTTTCTCATTACTGTAATTAGCTATATATTAAAGGAGGCATTTCATTAGATTTCAATTCAACCAACACTAACTAGCAGCTATAATTAGCCAAGAATGGGGACAGGCACCAGGATTATAAAGGTATGTCAGCCATCCATTCACCTCTGCCTATCTTCTATTATCTAATTATTACAACAACTGTAGCTAACACTTAAGGAGTTCTCACTCTGCTAGACACTGTTCTAATTGCTGCACAAGCATTTCCTCATAGAATACCCTCAATAACCCTGTGAGTAGATACTGTTATCATTTCCATTTTACAGGTGAGAAAACTGAGGCCTAGAGAAATTAGTTTTTCAAGTGATGAACCCTGATTTGAAATGATGGCATCTAACTCCAGGGTCCACACTGGGCCTACACTGTTGAACACTTGAGTACAAAATTAAAGAGAGCTTCTCTCCCTCAGAGACATGGCAGTGTGCTTTGTGGGATGGAAGAGGAGGCAAGTAATACAGATATTCAATTCAATGAAGCAGTGCAATGAGAGCCATACACTGGGGATATCATTGGAGCCCACTACATTCATTTTTCACCTGTCTTGGCTCTGATCAGTACTTAAGTAAGTAACAGATAACATAAAACACACACAGGTGTCCAACCTTTTGGTGTTTCTGTGCCATACTGGGAGGAGAGTTGTTTTGGCCACACATTAAATACATTGTGACATGTAGTCATAATGTTTTAAGTAAAGTTAGGATTTTGTGTGGGGCCACAGGTTGGATATCCCTGGATAGGAGCCAGGATGAGGTAATGATTTGTTCTTCTCAGGATGGTTAGAAAACATGAAAACAAACTGCCATTAAGAGTCATATAGTAGAGTAGGAGTCATCTGGACAGGTAGAGAGTAAGAGTGAGGTGCGGAGGCAAGAGGCATGTTGCAGGCAGTGGCAATGGAAAAGGCAAAGGCACTCAGGGCACCCATGGAACTGTAAAAGATACCAGGTGCATAGGGCCCAGAAAACATGCAAGTGTGCTTGGAAGGGCTGGAGTTACTATAGCAGGAGAAGTCTGAGAAAGGCATCAAGAGTGCCTGGAAAGAAATCCACAAGCCATGTGGCACAGTTCTCATCTCATTCCATCTGAGGAGTGATGCCATCAGACTCCTAACCCCAGCAGGAGTGTGACATGAATAGATCCTATCAGGAAGAGGAGAGTAGCATTCAATCACTGAAATATAGTGTAGGCAAGTACAATGACAGCTCTGAGGGGGAATGGTATCAGGGATAAAGATGTTCTATCTTTAATGTTTTATTTCATTGATAAACACAATGATTTGAAACTACTATAGCAAAATGTAAAGACTTGCTCACATCAGTCAGTGAGTACACAGCTTTTTGTTACATGACTTGTTATACAATGCAAAACTCAATGGTCACCATCCAGGCCTTACCTCACCTGACTCCTTAGTGGCAATGAATACAAGTTGACAGCTCACTAGTACATGGGAACACTTTAATCATTTGGTCAATGGGACACCATTTTATTGGTTCCCAAGGATATCTAACAATCCCTGTGCTGGAACTTCTCATTTCCTCAGGATCTAAATTATGAGATTCTGAGTGCAGTTCCTTGCCCTCTTCTCTCTTAGATATATACTCACTCCAAGGGATATCCAAACGCATGGATTTAAATGCCTCCAACATGTTCCTTACTCCCCAACATATCTCTCTAGCCAAGACTGCCTTCCTGAAGTCCAGATTTGTAGATACAAGTACGTGTTTGACATCTCCACTAGGGGATCAAGAATGCAGCTCACTCTGACAAGCTCCACCTTACCACAGAACTCTGTAATTCTATGTAACAGCACCCACCTCCATTGCTCTGTCCTCTTGTCTGCTACCTTTACTTTCATTTTTATGTTAAGAAAAACTTTAACTGTGCATCTGAAAGGTTAGCTATCTCTTGGTCGCTTAGATTTATTGGCTCTGGGGCTTTGAGCTGTTCTTGAGCCATAATGTTTTGGCTAACCGTTTAGATGCACAGTTCGAAACACTGGTGATCAGGATCCTCACAGAATTAGTTGATTTTAGTCCCAAATTAGAGGAACATATGAAGGCTAAACTAATTGAAATGAAGGTAAATGCACAGGAAAACAATACTGATAGAAAGGAAACTGGGACTCAAATCAATGGAGTGGACCAGAAGGAATTAAAAAATGACCAAACAGAAAAGAATGAAGAAACAAGAATTCAAAAAAAATGACAAGAGGCTTAGGAACCTCCAGGACATCTTTAAACATTCCAACATCCAAATTATAGGAGTACCAGAAGGGGAAGAGGAACAGCCACAAGTGGAAAACTTATTTGAACAAATAATAAAGTAGAACTTCCCCAATCTGGCAAAGGAAACAGACTTCCAGGAAATCCAGGAAGCTCAGAGAGTCCCAAAGAAGCTGGACCCAAGAAGGAACACACCAAGGCACATCATAATTACATTAGCCAAGATTAAAATCAAGGAGAGAATCCTAGAAGCAGCAAGAGATAAGGGGACACTCACCTACAAAGGAGTTCCCATCAGACTGTCAGCTGATTTCTCAAAAGAGACCTTACAAGCAAGAAGGGGCTGGAAAGAAGTATTCCAAGTCATGAAATCCAAAGACCTACAACCAAGATTGCTCTATCCAGCAAAGCTTTCATTTAGAATGGAAGGGCAGATAAAGTGCTTCTCAGATAAGGTCAAGTTCAAGGAGTTCATCATTACCAAGCCCTTATTATATGAAATGTTAAAAGGACTTACCTAAGAAAAAGAAGATAAAAAAATATGAACAGTGAAAGGACAGCAAACTCAGTTATTAAGAACCACACCTAAAAAAAAAAGCAAACTAAGAGGACAGCTAGATCAGGAGCAGAACCATAGACATGGAGATCACAAGGAGGGTTAGCAACAAGGGAGTGGTAGGAGGAGTACAGAGAATAAGTAGCATAGATGGTAGGTAGAATAGACAAGGGGAAAGGGCAAGAATAGTGTGGGAAATATAGAATCTAAAGAACTTGTGACACATGGACATAAACTAAAGGGAGGGAATGGTGGGGGGGTGTACAGGGTGGAGGGGAATGAAGGGGGAGAATAGGACAACTGTAATGGCATAATCAATAAAATATATTTTAAAAAAAGAAAAAAAACTTTAAATGTAAAAGAAGAAAAAAATGTTATATCTACACACCCAACACATAGATTCAAGATCCCTTGAAGCATATATCATGTTCATACTAGCCAAAGCACGCTATAGATTCAATGCAACTCTTATTAAAACACCAATGACATAGTTCATATATTTAGAACAAGTATTCCAAAAATTTATATGGAACCAAAAAAGACCCCAAGTAGCCTCAGCAATCTTAATTAAGAAGAACAAAGTTGGAGGTATCATAATACCTGATATCAAGCTATACTAAAAATACACTGTAATCAGAACAGCCTGGTAAGTGGCAGAAGAAAAGGCATACAGATCAATGAAAAAGAACAGGGAATCCAGAAATTAGCCCATGTCTTTAATGTTCAATTACTATTTGACAAGAGAGTCAAGAACATACAGTGGAGTAAAGAGAGTCTCTTCAATAAGTGGTGCTGGGAAAACTGGACAGGTACATGTCGAAAACTGAAACTAGGCCAACAACTTACACCATACACGAAGATAAACTCAAAATGGATAAAAGACTTAAGCTGAAGTCACCACACCATAAAAATCCTAGACAAAAACACAGGCAGTAATATCTCAGACATCTCTCGTAGCAGTATGTTTGCCAATATGTCTCCTAGGGAAAGAGAAATAAAAAATAAATAAACAGGCCCTGCCTGGTGTAGTTCAGTGGACTGAGCTCAGGCTGCGAACCAAAGGGTCGCCAGTTTGATTCCCAATCAGGGCACATGCCTGGGCTGCGGGCCAGGTCCCCTAGTGGGGGTCACGTGAAAGGCAACCATACATTGATGTTTCTCTCTTTCTCCCTCCCTTCCCCTCTCTCTAAAAATAAATAAATAAAAAAACCCTTTTTAAAAATAAACAAATGGGAATATATCAACTAAAAAGCTTCAGCACAGCAAAAGAAACCATTGACAAAATAAAAAAGGAATCCACTCTATGGAAGAACACATTTGCCAGACATATCTGATATGGGAATAATATCCAAAATTTATAAAGAACTTATAGTACTTAATACCAAAACCACAAACAACCCAATTAAAAAATGGGCAAAGGACCTGAAGAGATACTTCTCCAAAGAGGGCATAGAAATGACCACAGACATATGAAAAAATGCTTAACATCACTAATCATCAGAGAAATGCAAATTCAAACCACAATAAGATAATCACCTCATGACTGCCAGAATGGTTATCATCAATAAATCAACAAACAACAAGTGCTGGTGAGGATGTGGAGAAAAGGGGAATGCTCACATACTATTTGTGGGAAGGCTTGGTGTAGCCA